TAAATAAATTTAGTTCCTTTTATCAATCCTTTGATCCTTCTTTTCTCTTCACTTCTCAAAACCCTTTTTCCCCATAGTTATAGGAATCACAGAGCTTAGCAGAACCAGTCACTCTCTTCAGCTTCATGTCCTGTATTGTGCAAGAATCAGAAGAGAAAGTTAAGTTGAGGGGACTGGTGGTGGCCAGTTTACTCACTGAGAGTAGGTTGAAAGTGAATTTGGGAACAAAGAGGACATCCTTAAGGATTAGCCCATCGAGGCGTAAGACATGTCCTTTATGAGTAGTTTGTACTCTATCACCAATGGGTAGGTTGATAAAAATGTGATGCACTTGTTGTGAATTTGCAAGGAAATTAAGTGAATTGACTATGTGATCAGTGGCACGACACCAGAGTCAAGAATTCATGGAATGATGGTGATAGTATGTTGGATGATGTTGCAAGTAGGATTACCTAAAGAAACAGGAGCATAGCGAGTAGTGAGAGCTGTAGAGTGAGAAGACATACCCTTGATATTGGCTGTCATGAGTGACATGAGCTTGTCATAGTCTGACTTTGTGAGTTTGAACTCTTGTTGTGATTTAGAGGAAGTGCTACTGTCAACTACATTGATGGATGGTTTGCTGCGGGCAGGAACTTGAGATCTGGGATGGGAGCTAGGTGGATAACCATGCTTACTCAGTGTGTCTAATTCTTTTGCAGAATGTGCACTCAGGTGGTCTAGCAGAAGGATTGGAAGAGGCAGTGGAACCACTTGGGTTGAGACCTGGTGGCCAACCATGCTTATGATAGCATGTATCTTCATTGTGTTCAGGAGCATTGCAGAAGGTGCAATGAGGTCATTTTCCAAGAATGTATGGGCGTTTGAGACGCTAAACAACAAAGGTTGTTGGTTCAACAGTGATGGTTCTACCTTGTTGAGTACCAAATAGTTGCCTTTAATGTTGAAGAGCTCGCTGGAAAACCCTGTCCATTGGTGGTAATGTGTCTCAAAATAGGACTTGGGATCTCACAGTGGCAAAGTTATCATTCAAGCCACGAAGGAACTGAATAACAGAATTGACTACCTAGTATCCTAGGACAGCATTTAGGGAAGCACGAGTTTTGTGACTGGTAGTTGTACATCGACATGGATCTATGGGTTGGTTATTGTCTAATTCATCTTGTAAGGCAATAAGATTCCCATAGTATTCAGTCACTGTTTGGTTACCTTGTTTGATGGTTCCTATAGACTCAATGAGTTCTGCAACTCGAATCATGTCCCCTTGACCATATCGAGATTTGAGATTTAGCCAGGCTTCAGAGGCGAGTTTGCAGGACATGATGGTTTTCTTGGTGAGTGGGTTGACAACTTGTTGAATCCAGCTGAGGACCATGACATTATTGCGTGTACAGGAAGGAAAAAAGGGCATCTGTTGCAGCAGGGGAAAAAATGGTGTCATTGATGAAGCCAAGTTTGTTCTTGGCGGCCAATGCGTTGAGCATAGCCTTACTCCAGTCGTTGTAGTTGGTGGTGGTCAACTTCTCACCTACCAGCAGCAACCCTGGCTGATCGGAGCCATGAAGATAGTAAGGATCTGTCATTGGATCCGGATTTTGTTGCGGTTCTTGAGCTCCCATTTGTGAGGCGGCGACTAGGGTTTCTATGATACCATAACACCAAGTGTTGAAATGAAATCCTAACTTAGATTTTCATTGATCATCTTGTTTCTTTTATACAATGGTTGAATGCTAGCAGACAAGCTGCTATGAGTTGTTGTTTGCAGGAAAAAAAAACCCAATTGACGGAAGTGGAATGAGGAAAGAAATCCCGTCTAAATGGGTTGCCACGTCAGTTTTCGAAAATCACTTTAAGAGCAAGAAATTTTAAATGGGGGTAGCAGTTTTACTTTTCAGCTATAAATGAAACTGTAGATGGGTCAATAAAAGTATTTATTCCAAGTTTCCTACACATAACTCTACAACTCAGGGTGAGCTGATTGCTTGCGTGGTTTGGAAAATTAATAATTCATACCATTCGTTTTGGGATAGAGAAATTAACGGTGCAATAAAATGATATTTTTCATGGTTTAGTTGCAACAAAAAAAAATTAAGTGTTCGCAACCAAATAAAAACTTAAGTGGTACCGAATGCAATTAACCCTCTACTAAGCCTTGGCTTCTAGTGATGACAATGGGTTGGGGCGGGTACCTTAATTCTCATGTCCAGCCACACGCTACTATGGATCGGGGCAAGTAAAACCCGCGCGAATACGGGGTGAGGCGAGTCGACCCGCAGTTACATGTAATTTGAAAAAAAATACACATAAATTTTACTTTTTACGATAAAACGAAGGGGAAAATACTTTATGAATGAAAAATAGTGACAATAGAATGGGTAATTGAGTATAACAAGTTGGAAAATCGACTATAACTAGTTGAAAAAAAGTCAAAACATATATAGATATTATAAGAAATTGAGATAAAATGAGTCTAGAACAAAACAGGGAGGGTCGGAAGTAAATATGGGGCTACAGTGGGTCAGGTTCAAATTGTCATCACTATTGGCTTCCACTGAATAAATAAAAAAAATTGGTGGGTTGTCTTCCCCAAAAGAGAGTGTGGATCCCATGACTAAGGGGGGTGCTTAGTCACTTGCCTAAGCCCCTCCCAGCCCTTAGATCTGGACACAACAATCTTACGGCTAAAAAGTGGGAAAGGCTATTTAATTAATGACATGGGTAGTTTTGGTATTATGGAAAATTATGAAGTATACAAACCGGAATTACAATCAGTACAAACCATACAAACAGTACAAACTACAACGACAAAACATACAAACAGATTTACAAACATTACAGACTTATGAACTGTACAAACAATACAAACTAGACCGACAAACAATACAAACCATACAAAAAAGAAAAAACAACCGGGTTGACTTTGGAGGCTCCATCCCTATATAGAGGGATCCGTCCCGAAGTCAACCCGGTTGTTTTTTAGACATACAAACATTACGAACATAATGGACAAAAATGACAAACTAGACCGACAATCCATACAAACTGGAAAAAACACCCGGGTTGACTTTGGAGGCTCCATCCCTATATAGAGGAGTTTCATCCAAAAGTAAACTAGGCTGTTTTCTAGACATAAAAAACATTACAAACATGGTTGACAAAAATGATAAACATGGTGCACAAAAATAACAAAGCTTACAAACATTACAAAATAAAAAAGCTTACAAACAGTACAATATAAATGACAAACAGTACAAATCAACATTAGGTTTAATGTGCTTAGGTTTCATCTCTCTCTCGTGTTCACCTAGGACAATTCATTCCCCATGTCTCCTGCCGCAAAATAAATGGACAGCAACATTAAAATAAATGGATAGCAACCGGAAATTAGAGTCGCCGCAGGCTAGAGGAGACGCCGGAAAAGAAACCAAAGTTGAAATTTCCGGCCGGGGGAACCATGGAAGTCGGAAAGCAGCAGCGGCCAAATTGATTTATCTTTGTTTATTATCTAAATTAATAAATTAAATAATCATCCAATTACTATATTGTCCTTTATTAAATTGGAATAATCTGGGCCATTGGATTTTAATGAGGTGTAAGGGTGGAGATTGACTTAGTCATGTGACTAAGGGACCTCAGTCACATGAACTTAGCCCCAACCGGAGAAAGTTAATCTACTAACTTGAAGATTCGTTAGCAGATACTAACTCATATCCAAAATACATGAACTAATATCCAAGTACTAAAGTATCTAGAGAGCACAAACTAGTATTCAAAGTTTGCTAACTGACATCCACCATGAATCAACTATTATCCCAAATTCACAAACTGATATCTAGACAACACAGAATAGTATCCAAACAGCACATAATTAGTATACAGATAACACATAAGAGTATCCAGATAACCCATAAGAGTATCCATATTGAATACTAGTTGGTTGATTGTGGATATTAGTTGGTATCTGCTATCTGGATACTAGTTTGTGATGTTTTGAATACCAGTCTGTGCTATCTAGATACTTACAAGACTTGGATATTAATTCATACATTTTGGATATTAGTTAGTATATAGTATATGCTAACGAATCTTCAAGTTAGCATAATAACTAGGCTGGCCCCAAAAGGCCCAAACCATTTACTTTCCTTCACTACTCCACGGTCCATACTGTTGAATTCCCATCCTGCAAATCTCTTCATGCACCATTTGTCTCGGTTCCCAACACCTTCTATTGGATCCTCGAATATATGTCCCTCGAAATTACACGTAGTTCGTGGCAATATATAATGGCAGTAAATAAATAAATATATATATAGGGTTCATACCCATACGAACAAAATCTCTCGTACTATATCTTCTTGCGTATGGAAATTGAATACACGCACTAACCCGGCACCCATCAACTGTTGTAAGACCATCTCCAACAATCAAATGCCAAAATGCTAGAAAGCTTAAAAAAATTGGCATTTTGGCATTCAAAAAGTGGTTTTGCTCCAACAAGCAAAGCCAAAATGCTAGAATGTCAAATCTTCTCCTTTTGTGATTATCTAGTTTAGTGTAGATTTCATCACTTTAATTAGATAGTTTGTATATTATTTATATACAGTTAGTAATAATTAATTAAGACGACCGTTTCGATAAAATTTTGTTAAATTTTGACATAAAAAATTATTGTTAAATATGATTTCATTAATGACGAAATCACAATATTTTGTTTAAATGGATCAGACACTTCACATGTGTGTCAGAATGAGTTGTGCCATCAATTGTGCTTACACTTTGGTCAGAATGAGTTGTGTCATCAACTGTTCATTCAGCTTTAATAAGAATGAGTTGTGTCATCAACTGTTCATTCAACTTTAATCAGAATGAGTTGTGTCATCAACTATTCATTGAACTTTAATCATGTAGAGTTGTGTCATCATCTGGAAGATAACTTTGACCACTATTATTGAAGGAATCATTTCGTGCTTATATAAATGACCCTCAGAACTTGATCATTCTACTCATCCATCTATCAACCTTCTCTCTTGAAAAAAAATATTCAACCTTCATTCTTCTCTTTTGCCACCCAAAACTCTTTTTCCCTCATGGATTCCCCTGATAGAGAAGCTTATGAGAGGGAAAGGGAAGCTGATGAGAGAGAAAGGGAAGCTGATGACATACAATGGGAGTATGATTGTCAACTTGATCTTGAACGTACAGCGATGCTCATGATGTACGGAAGCACTTCTCGTCGTGGTTCATCGTCACGAAAATCAGTGAGGCGCAACAAGGAAGACGGTCACAAACGCTTGATGCAAGATTACTTCAACCCAAATCCAACATATGATGCCAAAGCCTTCACAAGACGATATCGGATGCCCCCTGCCTTATTCAACCGGGTCATGAATGATGTTGTCAACTACGATGTCTACTTCAAGCAAGGAAAAGATTGTGCAGGTCATGACTCATTCTCCCCACACCAAAAGCTTACTAGTGCTTTTCGTATGCTTGCATATGGATGCTCAGCAGACTCGTTGGATGAAACTTGTCGAATGGGTGAGAGCACTGTATTGGAGTGTTTGAGAAAGTTCTGCTTAGCTATCACCAACATTTATGGTGCTCAATACTTACGTGCACCAACAATGGAAGATACTCGTCGCCTCCTTCGTCATGCTGAACAACGTGGTTTTCCAGGAATGATTGGTTCTATTGATTGAAGCACTGAGAGTGGAAGAACTGTCTGACTGGGTGGGCAGGACAATAAACTTAGCACAAGAAGAAACCAACCATTGTCCTTGAAGCTGTAGCATCCTACGATACATGGATTTGGCATGCATTCTTCGGAACACCGGGATCAAACAATGACATCAATACTCTTGGAGTATCCCCACTGTTCGATCAAGCAGTACGAGGATTTGTTCCCAATGTCAGGTATGAGGTGAATGGTAAGACGTATGATCAATGTTATTACTTGGCTGATGGAATATATCTTGCGTGGGCTACATTTGTGAAGACTATTAGCAATCCAAGTAACCAGAAAAAAAAGTTGTTTGCAAAGTACCAAGAGGCTTACCGCAAGGATATTGAGAGAGCATTTGGTATACTACAATCGAGATGGGCCATTGTTAGAGGACCGAGTCGTCTTTGGGACGTACAGTCACTTGGTGAGATTATGTTAACTTGTATTATTTTGCACAATATGATAGAGGAAGATCAACGGTACGAGTACGGAGATGAGTTAGTGGAGAACATTGAATATGAAGCTAATCCAAATGTCAGCTGGGATCCACCTGAGCATAACATTCCAACCTTAATGGAGTACCTGGCCAGACATGGTAGGATTCGTGATCGTCTAGGACATCACGCATTGAGAAACGACTTGATTGAGCATTTGTGGGCAAAACATGGAGGAGAGTAGAAATCTGATGTAATCCTAACGTTAATGTATTCCTTATGTTTCCTTGCACTACTTATGTTCTTCTTTGGCAGCTTGTATTTCTCATGTTTCGTTAATGTATTCCCTATGTTTTGTCGACTTTTTAATGATGTATTTCAGATTTGTCGTTGTGTTTTTAATAATTGAAGACTTACAATCGAAATAGCATACAATCAAAGAGAAATAAAACTAGATAAAACAATAAACTCAAAAAATCAGCGATCCACTAAAAAATATTACATGTCGGGTCCATAGTGAAAGTCATCATTTGGGCTATAATTAGTGGATACTCCACTAGCATCTCCGTACGACGCCAAAATCTCATCCTTTTGCATCTGATACCAACCTCTAGTTCGAGGACTGAATTGAGAAAGATCCATATTCATGATCTTCATATCGTGTATGTTCTTATCCCTTGCTTCCCTTGCTTTATCTCTTACGTCTCTCGCTTTATCTCTTGCTTCTCTTGCAACACCGCGTTCCTCTCTAGCAAGCGCCAACCTTGCGTGTGTGTCCGAGTTTTCCACCAAATTGGCCTTATTCTTCTCCCAAGCTTCATTGGAAGAATATGGAGTTCCTCTTTTATTCTTCTTTTGTTTATCTCGACCTTCCGGACGGGTCAACACAGCAGGAGACCCATGAGCATCATGACTATCACTTTCGCCGGATGGCATTGTTGATGAAGAGTCGGTCATTGGTGGAATGGGTGCTACCGGGCTATTCCATATTTCCATAAACTTTGGAGCCTTGTGGAGTATGTCCCAACAATGGTTCAGCTTGAATCTCTTCCCGGTGTCCGCTACGAAAATTTCATTTGCTCGTTTAACCTAGACAATCAAGGCATATGTAATAATTATGAGTATAAACTACGTAATTAAATAAAAAAATCAAACACATAATAATTATTATTAAAACTCAACTAACCTCATAGTTAGATTTTCTCCACTCATTGGTACCGCGCTTGCTCTCCTCAATGCCGCATCCAATATCCACATTGTTGGCGGATGATTGCCCCTCGAGAAGTCAGGGCTCCATCACTACGTGGAATTCCCCATCCTTTAGCATTAAAAAGGACTCCAACTCGCCTCCAAAACTCAGTCCCAGCTTGATAATGGCCAATAGAACCATCCTCCGAAATTTCAATCCAACACTTGCACAAAACCTCATCTTTGGATTCCTTCCAATTTGGTGGGCGATTAGGTTGAGACATGATCAGAAATTTGAGAGTAAGAGAGGTTTTAATTTATTGGGAAGAAGATATAATTGATCTTTGATGAGAATGAGAGAAAAATTTGGAAGAGATGAGGTTGAAGTGAAGAAATATGAGGTATTTATAGAGAAATATATGGAAAAGAGCTGTTGGGGTTAATAGAGCTGTTGGTAATTAATTGGGTGACTGAAACTAAATTTTTTTTTATTCTAACGGGAATAAAGTTGGGCTGACTGAAACTATTTTTTTTTAATTTTAACGGGAATAAAGTTGGGCCACACGCAGGGGGAATTTTTGCGCTAAACGCGCGCCACGGATTGGCTCCGGGTTGCCTGCGCGCGTTGCCTAGCTGGAAGAAAGGAGGGCCCAACTCCCACCACAATTATAGCTTTTCTTGTCTTCTTCCAATGAGTTTTTAGCCGAAAAATTTGGCTTTTTTGGCTATTTGGATTTTCCCATTGATTGTTGGAGGAACTCTTTTAGCTTTTTTGGCTTTTTAGGGTGATTGTTGGAGATGGTCTAATCACAAGGACACGTTTACTTCTGTGCACTTGGCCATCAGAGCTTTAAATTCCCTGTTTACCGTTCAACGTCCCCCAATCTTGCGTTAGGTGCGGTTCCCGTTTTGAAGCATGTTGTGGAATTGAGTTTACGATTTCATGAATTTCTTTGGATCGAACAAGGCGCAATTGTTGGAGTTTCGAATTCATAGTAATTACAAATAATTATATGGCGAATGCCTGGTAAATGACGAGGTTTGTGAGTGAAAAGATGCGTCGCTGAGTAGATGATTGGCGAGAGGGAGGCTTCGATCCTGGGTTGGCATGCGTCAGTTGCTAACGACACATAAGAGAACACGACGATGCTTAAGAGAGTCAGTTGCGATTCATTCTTGAAGGCTATAGGTTCGGTGACACGATGAGCTGGAGTGAAGAGAGTTTGATGAAGACGATGCGATGGATGACTCTCTTCGTCGCCTATGAATTTGGAAAAGGGAAAAAAAGTTTTCCGGAGGGAGACGAAATAATGAGAATGGAAACCAAAACTCGTAAGTTTTTTCACTAACAAACGGATCATTTCGCACCAAATGACTAAACTCAAACAAACTCCCTAGCTAATTTGTTTTGTTGTTGTCTTGATTTGGTCGTTTCAGAGATGGTTAGAGAGGTTTAGGAAGCAAAGTAAGTGTGGTTTCATGGAACTTGGCTGGTAATGGCATGAGTAAGTGGAGCTTGCTGTGGCTCTTTTGGGAAACCAGAAATTGCAGAAAATGGCAAAACCATAAAATTAAACGCACTCACTAACTTGTCTTCACTCATCAACTCTCCCCTGTTTCCGGACTCCTTTTTCTCTCTTTCTCCGGGTAATGAGGCTAATATTTATAGGCCACGCCATGAACGCCTGCTGTATCTTTCCCCTCCGCCACGAGAGAGAGAGAGAAGAGAGGGAGAATTTTCGGAAGAAATGTCCGGCTGAGGAAGGGGGGAAAATCCGATCACCGACGAGAATACTCGATTATCTCCAACGTCCTTCCGGCGTGAATACGTTCAGTACATAACGTGAGAATGGTGGGACCGTCCAGGCCGCAGTTTGTCCTCTTCGGCTCCTCCATCGTTCAGCTCAGCTTCGGCAATGGCGGTTGGGGTTCCTCTCTCTCCGAAATCTACTCTCGCAGGGTAATTTCACACCGTTCCCTGTCTCTCTTCTCTTTCATCCTGACCATCGAGATCAATGGTGAATAACGGTTCACTTTCCAGTTCAGTTTGTTTCCCCCAATTTTTTCCCCCGTAGTAAGCATGGCGTTACATTGAGCTCTGTATTCACATGCTTAGGGATTACTGGAGGAGTAATCGAAATCCTGAGCGAGTGGAGCATTCAAGATTTGATTGTGTGATTAGTGAATGGTCTTGTAGTGTTATGTGTTGCCGTGGAAACGCACTTCAAGCTTGGAAACCCTCATCTTTCGTGAACGCCATTAGTTTTTCTGGAGATGGACGATTGTTTTGCCTTTTGGCTTTTACTGTATGGAGTGTGAATAAGATTTTTTTTTTTCTTTTTATGCAAATTTGCAGGCAGATGTCTTCGTCCGAGGGTACTATGGATGGAACTCGCGACGTGCAGTTCAGGTGCTCGACGAAATTTTCCCAAAGGTATCGTATATATATAGTATATACTACTCTGATCAAAGTCTCCAACTTGACTTGTGAAGTTGCACCTAAATGAGTATAGTATGAGATCTAGTCTTGGGTCTTTCTAGACCATTTCGAACTATGGTTTTGCATCCCAGATCGATCAGACGCAAGAATAGCTTGTGTAATTTCTCATTTACAGTTATTGTCTCTGTACATTCTCTGGGGAAGTAGATATATATTGGTGGTTCTCTGATGAAGAAATGGGTTGTTTGTGCAGGATGCTAGTGTGCAGCCATCTTTAGTAATTGTGTACTTTGGTGGGAACGATTCATTGGGGCCACACTCTTCTGGGTTAGGCCCTCATGTTCCACTTCCTGAGTATGTGGACAACATGAAGAAGATCGCACTTCATCTCAAGGTCCTTTCTCCCTTCAACCCCATTTGTTATCAGCATATCTGTACCGAAATTGCCTGCTCACGTGACTGTTTCAACCAATTGTCAGAGCCTTTCGAAGACTATACGCATAATGTTCCTCAGTTGTCCTCCGGTTGATGAGGTTAGAGTTCGTTCAAACACAAGGTAAATCATCACCACTCAGCTGCTACCTCAAAAATCGCATTGGTGTGATTGAGGTAGCTCGAGCTCTGAAATCCTGTTTCGCATTTGCTATTCATACACCAGTGCATACTTCAGTGAGGTAGTTAGAACAAATGAACTCTGCAAAAAGTACTCAGATGCATGTATAAAGCTGTGCGAGGAACTGGACATAAAGGTCGTTGATCTGTACTCTGCACTTCAAACGATAAGCAACTGGCAGACTGCATGCTTCACGTAAGTTCTGCTTTTGATTTCATCCCTACTTTATCTTCAAGGAGAAAACGTTGTTGCTGCTAACATTTACTGAGCCATTTACCACTGCTCTCTTGTTAACCAGGGATGGGATTCACTTATCCTCAGAAGGAAGCAAAATAGTGGTGAAGGGGATACTCAAGGTGCTGAGAGAAGCAACAGAATGGAGTCCTTCTTTGCATTGGAAATCCATGCCAATTGAGTTCCCAGAGGATTCGCCTTGTGATCTCGTTGCTGCCGATGGGAAAAGGACTCTGAATCCGTCGACCTGGAACTTCCACTGGGAGAATCAATGGGACTAAAACTAGAGAGGCATGCTCAAATATTAGATGCAGAAAGAAGGGATTTCATTGACAATGCAGATGAAACACTAAGACTTCTTCTGCAAACGGATCATCACCGGAATCGCAGCCGATTTGTACAGCAGCAGCATCGTCCACTTTGTAGAGTATCCAAGTTAAGAAAACTGAATCAGTTCTGATAAATTTGGTAAAGTCTGTCAATAGGAATATTTTAGTAGGTGGTTGGGAATGTTGGTAAGAAACGATAGTTTGTTTGCAATTTGCAGTTTCCTCCAATAAAATTAGACGTTTCCTTAAGTAATCACATAAAGGGTATTTGATAGTTTATTTTCTTCCTCATTAGGTATCGTGTAAGAGTTACTAAACGATTTGTGGGTCGGCAGTTAAGATGTCACTAAATCAAGGTTTAAATGGTACCTATTGCCCATGAGGCACCCTTGAACGGAAGATTAGAAATCTTGGTTGTAGGAATGACAATCAAATCCATGCTCACGGGTATTCGACCGTGACATAACTATGGATCTAGGTGTGCGAATTAGGGATTGCAACGGATTAGGGATTGGGAATTTAGGTGAGAAAGAATTGGGAATTGGATCAGAGAGAAGGCAGAGTCGGGTTCCCGGGGAGGGAGCCGCCGACGGTGAGGAGAGGGAAGGGAGGTTCGGCTAGGTGAGAGAGAGAGAGAGTTTGGGAACAATTCTGTGTTATTGCTTGCCTGTGACCTAACATGATATATATATATATATGGTGCCGTATTCGGTGCACCCACTTTTTCGGGTGCACTCAGTGCACCCGCCTCATAATTGTCATTCTGACCATGCGATTCATGTCAAAACGGTATCGATTGTTGCTTATGATATTATGAACAAGAAGCACATGAATTTGAAAAAAAATCATTCAAAATTTACTTTAATTCGAAGGATTTAGGATTTAGGGTTAGGGTTTAGGTTTACAATTTGGGATTTTGGGTTGGGATTCAAAATTGAATGTTAAGGGGTTAGGGAAATGGATTGATTTGTTATGATTCTATGTCATATCATCATATTATATTGATAGTACTAATCAAAGTTCAAAATTTGATGTATTATGGACCCTTTTAGAGTTGGGTGCACTCAGTGCACCCAAAAAAGTGAGTGCGCCGAAGTAGCCACCATATATATATATATATATGGCAAAGGCTAGCGTACGACGGTCGTACGCTATGCGCCTGTGTACACACTTGTTAATAATTTTTAATTAGTTATAATTAAGTAAATAATAGAGAATAATTAAAATTACAAGCATACCTATAAATTTATTTCGGAATACTATTTAGTCCCAAATAATATTTTGTTGTCTTTCTACTTAAATCAATCATGTAAATTTTCAATTTAACATTTATAGTACCTTCTTTTTGCTATTCATAATTTATAACACCCAAATTTATTATCAACAATAAATAGTGCAATTGTTTTCGTTTCTTCTTTCAAAATGCATAATTAAAATATTGAATGTCACCAAGTTTGTGATGGGAAGATTTCAGAATCGAGATCCCCAATTTTGTTCATTTCCCCTCCCTACCCTAGGGTTCTCGTTCTCGTTTTCGGCCATGGATGCCCAGCAGCTCGTGCCTCTGCCTTTGGATGCTAGTCCCGAACCTTCAAGCGAAGGCTCCACCCCCACCTCCGGCTCTGGCTCGAGCAAAACTGGGCTTGAATCGGTGCCAAAGAAGCAGAAGGTATCATGTTATAAAGTGGCTGCAGCGGCGACGAGGTCGCCGATGGTGATGGTAGCGGCGATGGTGATAAAATATCATGGGCGATTTGTGGTTTTGGCCTTCTGGGAAGAAAACCAGATAACTGGAGTTTGCGGGAACAGTGGGGCAGCAAGTAGAATCCTTGAAAGGGAACCAATAATCCTATTCGATTATGCCAGTGTATTCAATTCCTGCGTGATGGGAAGAATAATCATGTTTCTGGGAAAAGGGGCGAAGATAGTGCCAAAGGACTTTGATCTCCGGAAATTTTTGGAAGCTTAATAATATATATATGTGTGTGTGTGTTTCAAACATGAAACTTGAAAAAAGATTGTAGCGTACTGGTGTGAGGGCTAGCTGTGAAGCAGAAATAATGGGTTCGAGGTCGTCAAATTGCCAGATTCTATCTTAATTTTCTTTTTTTTTTGGTTTTATCAGGTTTTCCACCTTTTGCTTAAGCTAAATAAAGTATGTTCTATGGTCCCAAACAATGTAGCGTGAGATTCAAATTGGAATTTGGATCATACAACTGAGTTTTGTATTATTTGTTTCGGATTCTTGGTTTCTTTTGTTAAATGCTAACATGGGACTCGACATTCACGTTATATGTAATTTTGGAAGAGAGCTTAACCACCTATTGTGCATCATGCATCACAGCAGGGGCGGTTCTGTTTGATGAGTCCGGGACGCTGATAGCCGGGGGTGGTAGGTACTATGATGGTATCATCACTAATCCATTTCTGGTTGAATAGCTGGCGTTGAGGGATGCACTTACCTGGTGTGTCGAGATGGGACGTAACTCACATTCAATCAAGGGAGATTCCCAACTAGGTATCAACAGAGTTCGTTCTAGGCATCGGTGGGATGCAATAGCTGGTTCTATCTTGGAGGAAACTGTGGGGATGTGCGATGTCAATCTCCGTTTTAATGTGTACTTTGTTGGTATGGATTAGAACAGGCTAGCTGATAAAGTGGTGAGGAAAGCCCTCTCACTCTTCTCGACCACTTTGATTTATGCACTTGGTTACAAAAATATAGTAAGAGAGTATACCATTTAGATGCTGTAGAAAATGATTATATTTCTTTTCTTCTCCCATTTGGGGTCAATATGTTTCAACGGCTGAATTCGACATAATTATGTGAGGTTTATGTTCTCTTTGTTATACCCACTTGTCATAGAACAATTCACATTCAATATAGCTTTATCCACCGACCTGTTGTTTCGAATTAACAATCTCTCGGGCTTTCGAACTAAACTAAAAACCATAGTACCATTGAGAATCTTCTACCCCACACAAAACTATAAACTTAAATGAGCACCGGTACGATTGAACTTGACTTGGATACTGGACACTGCATCCACTTGTGCGCGCACACACACACATTATCGACAAAATAACTATTTGACATAAGATACTATGTTTTTCCTTCCAATATACATTGTCGTGGTATTTGAAAAACAATTTTTTTTCATATTCTCGATCTTTTTACTTCGAATTTTACCTTAATCGCTTGACCAACTCTTATCACAACACTTTTTGTATAGATTGCTTTTTTTAATGTTTAATGAGTATAGTTAAAGACTATCTGAGCCTAAAGTTGAAAGGTTTGTCAAACCCATTTGACACTGTTGAGAAATAATGATTGACATAAGAAATATGAAGTTTGTATTTTCTAAGTGTCGGGAGTTTTAGGCAAATAATAGGCTTTATACAACGAGTAGCATTTGAAATCCACAAGATTACACAAACATACTGAATTTATGGGCTAACCTGGTCACTTAAAGCAATATTGCGTCGCCGTAGGAAAGTGTTGGAGACAAGTGGTGGGTAACATAGTGGTGAACACCATGGGACTGTTTCACCATTCCCCTTCATTTGTGGTTGCGATAACTATTAATATAGTTACAAGCGATGGAAGTCAAAATCTTTGGTAATTATATGACATTTCATAGTTTGACATAATGATATCATATGGGATATTAATTTATTGGAGTGGAATTTTTCCATGTTGTAGAGATAAGAAGAGGATCGAAGATCCAAATTGTGTTATGTTGATGAGTGATATGTTTAGACTTGGGTCTTGTTCAGTTTTACAAGCTCTTGAGCTAGATCGACTTGGTATATCTCTAGCTTGCATTATAAGATGTCTCGAAGGTGTGAATCTGGAGCCAACTAGGGTAGTAATTCAGAAGTGACTTCATATATAGCTCGCCAACTAACTTAGTTATTGTCTTTTGGATTGCTTTGGTTACATAGTTTCTATTATAAAGTGACTCGATCATTTAACTCCGCTCTTATCCCCAGTCAACAGTGGTCCATGGAAATAAATTGGAACGAGCAAGAGCATGCGAATTGAGTTCATGCAATGAGGTAGAAGAACAACAACGTGACATACACTCTACAAGAAAAGAGGATTCTAGTCACAATATGTAGGCTTGCAACCTTCTTTCGCACTAAATAAATTAAAATATATCAAGAATCACGAGAAAAAAACTTAGTATTGTACAAAAATAAAGAATAATAAAAAAGAACATGAAGAATCTCGCCATGTTAATGGCGGGTAAATATTAACTAGCCAACGAAAATTTTAGGAGGGAAAAATAAACCCTCCAATTTTGTTGTCCAATCAAATTTGAGAACTTTAAAAATTTTCACACAACCCACGTTCTCGAACAGTCCCAAATCTCAAAAGAAAATAGGGAAATGAAAATCTTATCCCTTATCTCAACACATCTCTTCTCTGCACTTGATCTCTCAAAACTATCCGACTCCTCTGCTCATCTTCATCTCCCAGCGGATCAGAGCTCCATATATTCGATGTCATTAAAGTGACCTACATATACTCCATAGTTTATGTCGCCAGGCGGAGAAGCTCAACGGTGTTTGCGGGCTTGCTGTAGAGGATGATTCAAGGAGCCGATGTCCCCGTGGAGTACATCGACGGGATTGAGTAAGGAGGCCCATATCCCATGTCTACGGCGGTGAAGAAGATGGTCCGGTCTCCGGATGCGTTAAGGAGCGCGTGCCCGAAGGAGAGTGCCCCTGTTATAAATTGAGTTGGTTCCAAGAGAGCGATTCTAATTAAGAAGATGACTGAATCCACTACTTCGTTGCTGATGGGTACCACACGTACTCCCTCATCGGCATCTCTGCGCGGCTCCACCAATTATAACTGCTTACTTGCATGCCGGCGGTGGAAGTAGAGGGATTAAGCAGCAACAGAATCCGGGTTCTGCGAGGAAATTGGCAGCCACAGTTTGGGAGATGAAACAGATCCAGTCCCCGAAGATGCCGCAACAGTAGGCTCGGCAGAGAGGTGCAGTGTTCACTTACAATCTTATTTCTTTCCGATTTAGTTGAGGAGGGTGTTGTTTGGCACTATGGTTTCTTGATGTTCAGTCAGGGTCTGGCTCTGCTGTTCCACAATCTTTATTGAATGAGATTCTTGTTGAACTTCTTGTGTACGCTTCTGAATGTCGTTGATTATTGTGTTGCATGTAAGGTCGTGGCTGCTGAATCAAATAGGGCGTACCAAGGATGTCCGCCAGAGATTACATTTCATCATGAGGCTGGTTTCCGGGATACGAGTTCAATTAGTTCTTGTTGTACAAGGGTCTTGTTCTCTCTTATGAAAATAGCAATGGTAGAAGCAAGGAATATATCCGTTGAGTGGATTCTTGTGTTGCAATTGTTATCTAGAGACAGAAAGAACAGTTAACTATTGAGGTCAATATTCTGATTCTAGATGCATGCATAATGAAAACTGAATTGGTTTTTGTTTCATGATTGTATTCTCTTGAGACTTTTGGCTTCTATAATGCAGCTAAGCAAAATAGACGCACGTCTCGTGAGAATTGTGACACAGACGCAACATTTAGAATTCAACTTATTTGAAGGTTTGTAAACTAAACTTATTAACCAATGTCTGCTGCAATCTGTGCATAAACTTTGTTATATTTGACCTTGTCACTTCTCTTAATAGGCTCATGTAGAGGATCTAGCTGAGAAAGATGCCACTGAAAAGTCTGAAGCAGCCACCGAAGCATTCTCAACAAGCTGTTAGGGGAGTTATTGATACTTCAAGGAACCCACAGGAGAAAAAGGGCTAGAATGGTCGAGTATGAAGGTCCTGATCACAACCTACTTAAACTGTTAAGGTCTGCTCAATATGTGGAGGTAGTATGTATCATAATGGAATCTACCTGAGTAAAACATTATGATTCATGCCTCATATTTTATGGCCACAAATTGGTTGCTAAAAGTTTCAACTCTACCTTTCCGTTTACTCAATTCAAGTTCATTTATTACTTTCTTACACACTACGTGGTGGATAGGTGAAATTCGGTACTTTCGTTTTCAGTTGTGCTGTCATCTTGTTGTCTAATATGGCCAAAAGAATTGATATGGATAAAAGTAGTAAGGAAGCTAATTCTATCATGGAGTCTGTAGTGGTTTCCCTCGACTTAATCCCCTCCTAAAATGTATTTACTGTTTGGTTCATCAATACTGTGAGTTCTTGTTGCTTCCAATTTCTATTCCCTTCACCTACTTTTTTATATCTTTTTCTCTCTCCAAGAATTGAGGAACCACAAAGAACTAGTTGAGGTTGATTGCTGTGAGAATGGAGGGGGTGCTTTCCATTGTCTACGTGAAGGAGAAGATCATTCTAGGAAACTCATATGGAACTATGAAGGTAAGTGTTAACCATCTTACTCAACTCTAGTAATCAAGAACATCTCGTGAACACAAAACTTGGTCACCGTTTTTCAGTTAGCTGTTGAACCAGTTACATTAGTTTGGTTGTCAATTACCTGGTAACTGATATCTATCTCTAGTCCTCTCTTATCTAATAGATCTCATGAAAGTGTTTGTGTGGTGTCAGGCTCATCCCTGGAGCGACAAGTCCAAGTTGCTTAATGCAGGGAGATATGTCGAGTGTCTGTCTCTGCAGTTCAGGGGAAGACTTTTGCTTTTGTGTCTTTTCATTTCTGTCTGAACTTTGCTTTCATTGATGTCTTTGTATTTTCTTAGTTTAATTCTAACTCACATTGCTATTTATTTATTAATGTTTTTGTCATCTGTTAAGAGTGCTGGTAAATCTGATGTCTTGAACAGTGTAATTGGACATCCAGTTCTGGTGAGTTGCTCATCCTACATATTTCTCAGTCTTTTGAATAGAACTAGTGAATGCTTAGTCACGTGTGCCTCTTTTGAAACTTCTCATCATTTCCCCAGCCAACTGGTGAAAATGGATCAAGTCGAGTCTCCTATATGCATCGACTTGCAGAATGGTGGTTAATTGAGCAGCAAGGCAATTATTTTGCAAATCGACAAGAAGTTTCAAAAAGTTTATGCAAGTTAGTCCCTACTACCTCCTGTTGGTTGTGAATGGTAATGAATGGCTTTTCCCATTAGTTCTTGTTATAGAGGTTCTGTTATCATCATTAAAACACTGAAACGATGTAAGCTGTATAACTACG